CTATATACAGGGTTAAGAGGAGATATATACATATATATTGAGTTATGGACCAGTGTTTGAGGTTTAATCACCAACTGGAATAATGTGGTCACATTTCCTCCACAGGTTTGAGTCATTTCTATCCTTTGGTTTCCTCCTCTTCTGGTTCTTGGTTAATTTTTCCTCACACTTTACAGTACGATATCACGGTTAATAATCTGTTTCAATCCACGTCCATAGACGTCTTTGGCCTAAACGCCCGTCGATTTATTCTTCCTGGAAGCCTCTCTGCACCAACCGCAGCCCACTAGGGACATTTTAAATGCTCAGAGTGCATGCGGAAGCTTTTATTTATAACCGTGTTGTTAAAGTGGGCTGCGTCAAACGGGGTAAAGGGGTGAAAAACGACTCTCAGACCCTTAAAATGATGACCATTTTAAGGTATGTCTGGGTATTCCTGCTTAGAAAAAGCTCAGTGTTTCATGTTATTCTCAAAACACTTGCAAAATGTCATTATTGAAAGCATGCAAGTAACTCAGGATCAGAAGGAAAAATGCATTTAATAGTTTTAAACCGGTTTAAAAAATGCAGCTGGGACCAAAATCTACTTAAAAAAGCAGGAATCAGTATTTTGTTTACCTTTCCTTTCACTGTTTATTGTTTCGGCTGTTTAGTGGTCATTGGAAAGGGTTTTGGCTGCTTTTAAGCCTCAAAAGATTAATTAAATAACTAGTTTTCGTGATTATAATGCAAGCAGAATGACACCTTTTTATCAGGTGTTGGTTGAACCCAAATAACTTTTACCACTGCTTCTTTTAACAATGAAATAAGTTATAAATATCATGAATTTTAGCTCATTTGCTTAACCCTGTAATGCCAAATGTATCATATTTGATAAATACGGTTTATGAAATATTTTGCGTCTGACACCTCTTGCATAATTTAATGATAAAAACTTTGCCAAAAATCCTATTGTACACAACCAGATACACCTGATAACAGGGGGCAGAAGAATACACAAAAAATAATCTTGACTTATCGCATAGTAATAAATTATTAATATAAAAAATATATTTCTTTTTTTACATATTTTGTAAAAAGGCCCAATAAAGAACTCAAAACAAAACAAAGGTAATTTTCTGTTTTATTCTTGGTTCAGGCTTTAAAGGGTTCATTTATGAGTGTGTGTACTATAGGAATTTGCCTTTGTGTAATAAACCGAATGGTATATATAAATCTAATCAATCCAGGATGTGAAATAGTCTCTAAATCTGCGTGTTTTCGGCTTTACTTTGTGAATGGACGCACCGTTTAGGCTGCAGTCGGTCTGGATTGCTCCTGTATGGACTGGACTGGTGCACAGGTTCCTGAGTTGGTATATTTTTAGAGGCAGGCCTCCTCCTCGATCTCAGATTTAAAGGGCCAGTACTCCCTTTTTTCCGTCCCATTCCGCCTCGATTTATGTCGATAGCAGCCTCACATCTCTCCCTCTCCCCTCCCTCCTGTCTCACTACCGCAGATCCTGGTCAGCAATATGTTTCCCAGCCAAGCTCGGAGGAAGTGTGATGGAGCTCATGAAATATTAATGGAGGATATCTTTAGAAAGGCCCTCTCGCTTGTCTCAGCACAAGCTGAGGCAGCTCCTCACCTCCCCATCACCCCTCCACTCTCTCATCTCCTCCTCCTTGTTTTATTCATGTCAGAAAGTGTGTTTCCTTTGTTTGGCCTGGGAGGCCTTTGAGTTTTTGCAGGAAATTGTGGACATTTATATTTTGGAGCAAAAGTCTGAGGCCATCTGAGGAAGTAAGAAATAGAAATTTGTTAAAAGGGAAAAAAGGGAAAGGGGAAACTTCATGAAGTGGTTCATATGACGTACCAAACTGCCCCAAAGTAAAACAAATCATAGTACATTTTATACCCCTCTGAGTCTGAGAAGAGGGGTAAAATCTGATATATGATGATCTGAATAGAGTAACCTGTACCAAACAATCCTCCAGCCAAAACATTAACCCTTTAAAGCCCGATCCAAGAAAAATAGGAAGAATATTGGATTTTTTTCTAGTCTGAAGTCTTTCTTTGGCCCCTCAACAACATATGAAGAAAGAAAAACAGGAATTATTTTGATCAAATTAGCGTACAATAATTCAAAAATATATTTTCGTGCAAGAAAAATAGGAAGAATATTGGATTTCTTTGGTCTGAAGTATTTCTTTGGCCCCTCAACAACATATGAAGAAAAAAAAACAGGAATTATTTTGATCAAATTAGCGTGTAATAAGTCAAAAATATATGTTGGTGTGGTCTTCTACTGGCTGTTATCAGGTATATCTGAATGTGTACAACAGGGGTTTGAGCAAAGCTTTTACCACTGAATGATGCAAAATGTCTCAGAATCAAAAGACTTCAGAAACCGTATCTCACAAATATGATACATTTGGCATTATAGGGTTAAAAGATAAAGTAGGAGACCCTCTCTGAGACTTAAAAGGAGGAATGAGTCCCATTAGAAAGAAAAAGAATCTTTAAATATTCACTTGTGGGAAGTTACCAGAGAGAAATTAAGAAAGGGATTATACATATATTGATTTCCCTAAGAGTTTTCTGTGAACTCCTCCTCCTCCTCCATCCTTCTTCTTCTCCCCACCTCTCAGCAGAAACCCATCACAGCTTCGTCCTGAGTGAAAA